CAGCCTCTGATATGTGGCTCCAGCATTTTTCAATCCGAATGGCATGACTTTGTAGCAGTAGAGTCCTCTGTCTGTGATGAATGACGTAGCTTCCTCGTCAGGTCAGAACATGGGTATTTGATTGTACCCCGAATATGCATCCATGAAGCTCAATAGTTCATGTCCAGCAGTGCAATCCATAAGTTGGTCTATTCTTGGAAGTGGGAAGCTGTCTTTAGGGCATGCCTTATTCAAGTTGGTAAAGTCTACGCACACCCTCCACTTCCCGCGGGACTTTTTCACCAGGACGGGGTTGGATATCCACTTCGGGTAGATGGCTTCCCTTATGAAACCACTGTGGCTAAGCTTGCCTACTTCATCCTTGAGAGCCTCGTACCTTTCTGGGTTGAGGGCATGTCTTTTCCGCCGATGAGGGGTTGATGTTAAGATGGTGGCAACTGATCATTGGATCTATCCCCACCATGTCTTCATGCCTCCAAGCGAAGACATCCAAGTTTCTTTTCAGGAAGTTTACCATCTCCTCTTTCGGTTCAGAGGGCAGTGCCTTCCCTATTCGCAAGATCTGACTAGGGTCCTCTGGGTTGACAGAGAGAGTCTCTAGTTCTTCCATTGGAGTTGCGTTTAGTTCAGAGTCAATTATCCGGAGATCTAACTCGTCAAGAGGGTGTCCTTGTTCAGGAGCCTCTTCCATGTTGATGTCTTACTCCTGTTCGAAGGTATGCCCTTGTTTAGGGGCGTCGAGTATTTTCACGTCCATACTGGCTTCATTGGCAACTTCAGTTATGATTACGTTAACAGTTCGGGGCTCCGACTTTCTCAGAGAGTTCAAATAACATGCCATGGAGCCCATCTGGTTACCTCGGACCGTAGCAATCCCATGTTCAGCTGGGAATTTCATATACAAGTAGTAGATGGAAGTGACGGCCCAAAAATCTTTCAAAGCAGGTCTGCCCAATACTTCATGATAAGCCGATATGTGGTCTACCACTAAGAATTCCATGAAGTGTTGGGCCACTAGGGGTGTTGAACCCATCTCGACGGGCAAAGTGATCTGCCCTCTCGGGACGATGATGTCTCCAATAAATTCGAAATAGTGGGTCGGTCATGAAAATCAGCCCATGTTCAATTTGCATTTTATCGAAGGTGGAGCCGAACAGTATGTTCATCGAACTTCTATTGTCGACGAGCATGCGTTTTAATTCGTTTCTGGCCACTACGGCTCTTAGAACCAATGTGTCACAATGGGAGTGGTGAACTCCATTTGCATCTTCCTGGGAGAAGGTGATTGGGGCCATCTTATCGGCCGCTTGTGACTCGTTGATGTAGGTAACCATTCGCGGGTCCTTTGCTTCCCTTGTGTAATTCCTTTGGGCGTTCTTGGTGTTACCACCGATGTGAGGTCCCCTAATGATTTTGTCGATTTCCCTGATGACTTCGCTCCCAGAGAATGGGGCTTGATTTCTCTATCTAGACTGTCCTCGATCTCTTGATTCTCTTTTCTGAGGTGATTGCTCTCTATGCCCTCTTTCTCCCTTGTTCGGGGAGGTGGATCTGTGAGGATATTCACTCCTGCTGGAAGGATGTGGGTTGCCTCGATCTGGACGTCGATTAGCATCTCGATATTCATTAGTGTCATGCCCATAGAGTTGATGGAAAGTGCAAAACCTTGCCCCTTCCAAGGGCCTATTCGATCGCTTCTTCTTCTTCTTCTTCTTCTTATTCTCAGCTCTTCTGGATGATCCTGCTTCACTAGGAGCATTCTTATATGCCAATACTGGCACTGCATTCAATGTAGCCGAAGCCAGTGCCTGTCCGAAGATGGGAGCTATTGTGTGACCTGCTTGAGTCATTGCTGAGTGACAAGGTACGCTGCAGGTCCTCGATCCACCTGGCTCTGAGGCGAAGGGAGTCCTTGCTCGGCACGATTTCGGTGATCAATCATTTCCTCACTTAAAATTTCTACTCTCATCATTTCCACCAGCTTGTCATAGGTGAGAGGATTCTTGCAGCGCACGTCCCTCCAGAACAAAGTGTTCATGTTGAGGCCGCCTTTCAGTGTTGAAAGGGCTTCTCTGTCAGTAATCTTTTCGCAGTATGTGATTTCGTCTGTAAACTTGGCGAGATAGCTCTTCAGCGTCTCTCCAGGGGCCTGCCTCATGCCTTGCAGGCGTTGCACTGGGGCCTCTCCTTCCCTGCGTGAGAGGTATAGGTTTAAGAATGCCTTCTTAAAATCTGGCCAACTCCTAATGCTCAGAGGAGGAAGTTTGCTATACCACACTTCAGCAGCTCCGCCCAGGGTTAAGTGGAAGGCTCTGCATTTCAAAGCAGGAGAGGCTCCCCTAAGGCTCATCTATGTCATGTACTTGGTGAGGTGCTTCTTCGGATCCCCCTTTCCTTTGTACTTGGGGATCTTAGAGGGCATGAAGTTTGCCGGCATCGGGAAGCTTCGGATCTTCCTTGAAAAAGGGAGGTTATCATCATCGTCATCGATATCATAAGATCGACAGGGCCCATCTGACCCTTCATCATCTTGAATATCCTAGGGAGGTGGAGGTGCTTCTCCTCGACTTTCCTAATCGACTAGGTTCCTTCTATCCCTTCTATTTCTAGGAGGAGGTGCCTGTTCTTGTTTCTGGTCTTTCCGAACCGATCTTCGCACTGAGCGGGCCCTATTACTAGGGTCCTGCCCTATTCAGTTCGAAGACGCTTACTGACTTTTGTTCCTCGTATTCTTGAGGAAAATTGTCCCCTAGATGTGATTCTGCTGGCTGGCTTCCCTGCACATAGGATGTGGCTTCCACGCCCACTTCTCTTTCGAGGGGACGTTCTGTGTGCCGGCTCATATGGCCTCGGGAGCGAGACACAGGGGCTTCCTGCACCGGGTAAAATCCTTGGGGCATTTGATGGCCCTGATGACCTTGGGCTTGCACGAAAAGTTCATGCATCGCCATATTCTGAGCTACGTTGTCTCTCATGCCCGCCACTATTTGAGCTATCCCTTCAGTGAACATTGCTGTTCTTGCGCCTCGACGACGCCGGTGATGGGGTCTCTGGTGAATGACATTGTTATGGAGCACCTCTTCTTCAGAGGCCTCTCTCATGGGATTGTCGTCTGCATGGCTAAAACTTATTCTATCTCCTTTTTCAATGGTGATGAGACTTTAGGGTATAACTCGACTTTGTTCTTTTTCAAAAACATGCCCTTTTCAGGGCAAGCCGCTAGTTTTTCGGTGGAGAATGTAGAACTTTGAACGGGAAGCGTTTCCCACAGATGGCGTCAATTTGTTGACCTCGAAAATTGGACCCTCCATGTGGCCAACCGATAGCCACTCCACGTATTCCTCCCTGCGCACAATCAACGCATGGTCAGATGCACACGGCCGGAACCAGCGGGGGCGGCGGCAGCCGTATACACTCCGACAGTCAAATTAGGCTCGGGCGATCAGAACAGTACCAAGGTTGTGCAAAATAGTGGAAAGGAGAATATATGTTTTCTTACTATGGAGTGCTAAGTAGAAAGAGTTTCATTACCTTTATTTCTTGCCAAACCTTGGGTATTTATAGGTGAAGAGAGCCGTTGGATGTGAGACACGTGTATCCATCTGAACGGTATGATGCGTCTGCTCATAGGCGTTAATTAGCCGCGTCCATAGAGTGGGCGGGAAGTTACTTCTCCTGAGTTGAGTTGACATAAAGTAGATAGATCACATCAACTAGCCTCATGAAGACGTCAAATCACTTTAAACCTTAGGGACAGAAATTTTTTTGACAAAGATCTCATTCTAAAATCGGCGACGGATCTTCAAGCTGAGGTCCACGGGGATCGTTTCGCCTCGGATTCAGGGGGATAGGGCGTTTCGGCCAGTTTCACAGAATTACCTGTGCCTCGTAGTGTGATTGCAGATCATCTCAATTGGAACCACTTATGGGGACCACTTCTAAACCATTTCGTATGAGCGTTCCACACATCGACTGACATGGTGGTGGACTTTCCGAAGTGGAACCACTTTGTATGAGAGTTCCATACCTTACCTGACGTGAGTTCAGTTCGGGCATAACAATTATCATTATTTATCCGCAAAATAGACAATATCAACAATAAAGTTAATAAACACCTGACTTGAAGAATCATACTAACAAGGAAGAAAAGATTCAGAAGTCCGAAGTAATATGAGAAACATAGAATGGGAAGATATACCTTAAATAATATATATTTTCTCTCTCTCTCTCTCTCTCTCTCTCTCTCTCTATATATATATA